TGGAGGCAGGGTAAAATCTACAACTACGGCTCAGGGACAGCCAGGGGCCGGGGGAAGGGCAAGGACTCCGTGGCCCACGAGCTTGTCACACTGTTGGCCAAGCTCGACTGGCACCTCCTCTCGGACTCTGCCAGGGCCTGCTATATACAGGATTCTGAGGGTAAGACTTAAGAAGCTCCCAACAGAAGCCAAATAGTGAGACGTCATCAATTTAACTTTGGCGCATGCTTATGGAACGTGCACCGCTCTGTTGCGGTGCACTGTGCAATTGGCCAACGATCTAGCCACAACTCATGCCTTCGACTGCATGGATTCTGGCAGCCAATCAGGCGGAGATAACAACGCAACGACTCTGCAGGATTTCTATACGATGCGACATGAGTAGCAGGTCCTGAATTAAGCGTATGTAATGTAATGAGACGGAGCAATAAACTTCAGGCTTCTCGGCTTCTGAACGAAGCGAAAGAAGTTGCAGCAAGCTAAAACAACTCAAGCACCTGCCGATGTCGGTCTATTGGCGCAACTTGCTTACAGTTTGGAGGTCGTCTTCGCCGTGTGCGAAGTTGCAAGAGTCGCCGAACCTCGGAGCCCCGGCGAATTGAGTTGACGCATGCCAGAGGCCACAAACACAATGGCTGAAGGTCAATCTGATGCTTATTCTAACTTCATGTCTTGCTATGCTGATTCATGGCCACTTGCAGAATCTTGCGGAAGAGCAGCCAGCAAACCCCTGTCCCCATGAAGTGTCGGCAAAGCTGCGACTTGCGCAGGAGGACCTGTAACAGGGGGTGTGTCATGTCGGTGATGCCCATAATGCGTTTCTCTGACGCCTCCGGAGGCAGGTAGACCTTCTTGTCCCTCAGCTCCTCCTCCCCGTGTGCGAACATGCAGCTCTCACCACGCCAACCTTGCGAGTTTGCACCAAGGTTCAGCACATTCCTAAGCCCTCTGCTTCCGCTCGAATCTCCGGCAGATCTGAGCTCCAGGCAGTGGCCCTGCTGGAAATGACGGCACAGCATGGTCTTGCGCAGTCCCTTGCAATTTGGTTGCGTCTGCAACTCCTCCTTGCCATGAGCAAAGGTACACCTGAGCAGCGAACCCTTCGGCTGTTGAGGCTACAAACAGAAAAACCTGTCTGCGCGATACAACAACAACAAAAGTAACTCTTGGTTTTCGCTACCTGGTTTTGTGATGCCGTGGCACTTGGCACCCAATCTGCAGGTGCCAAGCCTCTCGAATTGTCGGCAGAGCACGACTTTTGTGACCGCTGGTGGTGCCAGCTTTGCAGATTCAGTCTGTGCATCTTCTTGCCACTTCGTCTGCGCTTCCTTCGCGTGTTTAGGAGCTTTCTCCGCTTGCTTGGCAGGCTGGAGATCGTCTGGCCCAGCTCCGATTCGCGCTTCCACAACCTTCCTCCCTGCCAGATCAGTCATGTTTCGCGCCTGCGGATTCGGGGGATTCGATTTGGAACAAGACTTGGATATGTCCTTCGACGGCTCTGTCGCGATGGAAGAGCAAAATAACGTCACTGGCATCGGCTCTAAGCGAGCCTTGATAAAGGCAGCTGCTCCATCCACACACTTATGCATGTGCTCCTTGTACTCCAGGAGAGGACCGACCCACACGCACGCTCCACCATGCTCCTGAGCATTCTTGGAGCAGGAAATTGTGAAGTAGAGGTGTGGAAATGGTCCTGCAATGCTACGACAGCTGGCTTCTCCTAGAGCTTTCGGGATGTGCAGTCCAGGCTCCAGGTGGTTGGCACATCGCACTTTCTGGGTACTGTAGAGGCGCCAAAGGATGCTTCCGGAGCCTTCGGGCTCCAAGGCCTTCACGTCCTCACGCTTCAAAGGCCTCATGCAAGCCGGGCATGGCACCTCGGACATAGGCGCTCAAAAAAAGTATCGGTTAAAGCAGATATTGCCAGAGGTCTTTTTATGCCCAAGGTGCTGAGGGCAGGGGCTTCTCCGCGCCGTCGCGCTGGTATTCTACCCATTGGGAAAAACACGGCCCACAAAACAGGTGCGAGCAGCAGGTCACGACCTTGGCTGATCAGCAAGTCCACGGCACATCACCGGCAGTCATGTCTATGCCGTTGGTAGAAGCACAGACAGCTGAGCTGAGCACTGGCTGGTGCATAACTTCTGTACCTGATTGATTTCCCAACAAAAAACATTCAAAACGGAACGCGACTCCCTGGCAGGTATCTGCATCCAAGCTGCAAATCTTACCTCGCCAGGCAAACAGCTAGCAAACATTGCAAGGCAGGCCCAAAGGCTCGAGAGAGTTAAAACTGATGCGGTAACTGGCTTCTGCCACTTGCCCCCCTTCCCCCTCTGGACACCCAACTGGTGTCGGCCATTTCCACAGATCCAACATTATCGGCAAGTGCAAGCGTGTCCGCTGGTGGAGGAGGCCGAACACACCCAAAACCCATCGTGTCGGAAACCGGGTGGTTGGCTCGTGTCAACTCTCAACGATGCAGGCTGGCAACACTAACCACTATACTCTCTCCCGTAGGAGCAGCACCAACATCACCATCGACGTCGCCATCGCCGTGCCCATGCACGTGCCCATGCCCATGACCATCACATCGGAATCATCGCCATCATCATAACCATAACTGCTGATCAGTATCAACAACATCGTCATCGTCATAGCAGTGATGGTGCGCAAGCATCAGTATCACCAGCGTCGACACAACCAGTAGGCAGCATTGGACCTCAAGTCTACTGTGCATGCACCTTCGTCATCAGGAGGCATCACAATTATACAGATCATGTCCCTGACACAGCTGCTATGTTCGAGCACCTGCAGCAGAAAGGAGCAATCTTCGCAGGAAGACAGTCAATCAAATCGTACACCGTACACTATCACACCTGAACATGTTCACACTCGTCAAGACGAAACATTGCTGAGACTGTGACTTCTACAAAAAACACCGACAGCTTAGAAAATCAAAGCTGTACCGTTTGAGACATCAGGTGGTGAGGACCTATCAGTTCCGGCAGGGACAAGCCGGCAAGTAAGTCGGAAGACACACACATTCCGGCATCTTCTTTACGGTCTGCTCCCGGCGCTCCACAACAAACAGTCTGAATTGACAGCCAAGGCACAAACGAAATCATCTCCTTCGCTTACGAGCTGCTCTGCTGAAATCTGGAATCGAAGCTGCTGCAGCTGCATGGACACCCTTCGGCCGTCAGCCATCGAAATCAGCAGCTGCGCTGTTTCGATACCCTGTTTGGCTATACTTCATTCCCTGGAAAGCCATCACCTTCAGTCTCTTTTTGCCTTCTGCTCACCTATCGCAAAGAGATTCATGAAGACGCCGCACGCCTATTTCCTGCTTGAGCCAACAAGGCAACCGAAGTAGCAGCTTGGAAGAAGCGACACGTACGAGCAAATTCCTGGACATACTCGGGCTCTCACCGTTGTGAGGAAGTATTTGACTATGATATCCGTCCGTGCGTGACCTGGGGGCACATAGAGCCGAGCTTCCAAGGCACAAACTTACACGCTATCTTGGTTCCAAGCTCATCTGGTGCTGGCAAATACATCGGCCGAAGGCTTCTACGATGTCGAACTGGATAATGCCCTTCGGGTTGGCGGGCTTCTCATGCATTGTGGATACGGCACGCCACGTGGTCACAGGGCAAGCCATGCCGCGTCCTTCTTCCTTTTGTGCTGTCTTTGTTTCTAGCAACCTTGTGTCTCTTGACCGTACAATAGATGCTACATGCACATATCGTCTACACTATCTATATCTATATATATATATGTAAGAGAACCC